AGAAGTCTATGAGCATACCTGGAATGTCACTCATGAAAAGGTCCCAGGAAATATTTTGCACAAAAGGTAGTGAGGTCTATTGATTCAGCTTGCAGGTGTTTCTTCAAATGGCAGCTGAGAATGGAACCTCCATAATCAGAAATAGGATATCTGCACCTTAACACCTGAGTGGATGGGGTCCAACAATCGCGAAACATACTTTTGGTTTCTATTTGTCCCAATCCACACCAGCAAATTTTGTGATGATTTAATAGCCGACACCCGGAACAGGATATCTTAAGTGTTTTGAATATAAAACTAGCTACATGAAAGATCTCCAAAGGAAGTCTTATCGTATTTTGGACAAAAATAAAATATTTTGCAGATGAAATAATAAAAAAACCCCTGGCTTTGATTTTCCTTCAAACAATGCCACACTCAGCCTTCGTCTTCCTGAAAATGTCGCCCCTGCCTTACAGTTTCAAAGGCAGCTTTTCATCTCCTGCCAGAGATGGCTAATTCTGTGTTCAGGCCAATTCTTCATCTGGCTGAGATCGCTTCATGAAATAACAGAGAGAGTCTTGCAACACTTAACGGGAAAAACACCCCCAAAATCTACTCTGAATCCAGCAAGCACAGCCAAAGGAAATTCACTGTGTTTTGGGTGAGGCCAGATTAAAATCCATGACCAAGATTGGGATCTTTGGTGGACTAGGGCTGTGCTTTATTTTGTTTTGTTTTATTTATATGCCACTCATCTCACTATCAAGTGACTTGGGGATGTGTGTGTAATACTTTTATTTCATTTCTTTTTTATCTGGTTTCTTGGGGACCCACTGGCTGGATCTCGTGTTACAATGAGATTATCTGAGAGTCAGGAACTCAGACTTCTGGGTGGATTTAAACAGGTCCTAACAAATCCATTTTGTTTTTGTTCCCAGCAAAAAAACCTATGCACTGAAAATCTGTGAACGTGCAGCTGAATATTTTCTTGCACAGTTAATGGTGCCTTCTGGTTGTTATAAAAACCAGCTAACCAGGTCCAGTCAATTTTCTAGTTTTGCCCTACAGAGCACTGGAGTGGAGGTGAAACCTTTTTTTAAAAAAATAAATAAATGAAGAAAGCGCTCCTGTTCTTTGCTTCACACACTCAGAAAAAGACATGGAATGTAGGTTGCATAATGCCTCCCTCAGATTCTTCAGAAACTCACCTTCCTTCCTTCTTTCCTGTACACTGGAAAAAACTGGTCAAAGCCGATCAGCATCAGTTACGTCCATGCAGGTCAGACTTTAACCAGGTTGAGCGAGACTCAGCAGATACAATTGCACTTCGTGCTAAAACTTCATTAGCGTCACCTCTTGTTTTGCCTTCTGCTCTGACCGGACCTGGTTAGCTGGTTTTCGTAACAACTGGAGGGCACTATTAATAGTGCAGCAAATCGTTCGGTTTCTTGCAGCTTTGTGTGTGCCAAGCAAACCAAGCACCACCGTTGACCACTTTATGATCCCATTTTCACACAAAAGTAGAACGTCAGGTGGCCGGGCATCTGTTTACACACGTCCTGTGAACACAGCCAGGGTTGACTCAGAGAGCTGTGGTCGTCACGCATCCAGAGGGTGCCCAGGCCACCAATTCTGATACATGGGGCCTGGACTTTTCCATCATCTGCTATTTGTTCCTTTCTACCTGGGTTATCTGATTTCTATAGCCAGCATTCCAACCAGTGACTTGGGATGGCATACATCAGAAAACACAAACACAAGTTAGCAAATAAATAAAACTGTTACTATGGATGGTCATACAGCCAGGAAACAGAGTCCCAGACCTGGGCAACAAAGAAGGCTCCATGATGTTGCAAAAGGTGAGCAGGCTAGGGGTCATGCTGATATCTGAAGGGAGAACGTGCCTCAAGGGCAGAACTATGGCAGAGAAAGCATCTAGGGGACTGGAGGCTAAAACATATAAGGAACTGTTGCTGGAATTGGGTATGTCTAGTTTAATGAAGTGAAGGACGAGGAGGGACAGGATAGCCATGTTCCAGTATCTCAGGGGCTGCCCCAAAGAAGAGGCAGTCAAGCTATTCTCCAAAGCACCTGAAGGCAGGACAAGAAGCAACGGATGGAAACTAATCAAGGAGAGAAGCAATCTAGAACTAAGGAGAAACTTCCTGACAGTTAGAACAATCAACCAGTGGAACAACCTGCCTCCAGAAGCAGTAAATGCTCCAACACTGGAAGTTTTTAAGAAGAGACTGGACAGCCATTTGTCCGAAATGGTATAGGGTTGCCTGCCTGAGCAGGGGGTTGGACTTGATGACCTCCAAGGTCCCTTCCAACTTTATTATTATTATTATTATTATTACTACTACTACTACTACTACTACTACTACAACTACTACTACTACCATTATTATTATTATCATTATTATTATTATTATTATTATTATTATCTCTCCTAGTTCCCACCAGTCAACATTCCTTGGCTGATGGGTCCTGCAGCAAGCCCAACCTGCCTGACCAAACTGGATAGGCAGAAATGATGAGAAAGTGGATCTTCAGGTAATCCAACCCCAAGCCACAAAGGGCTCTAATGGTGACAACCTCTTGGTATAAAATAGGGACCGCAATATCTTTTAGACATGAAAACCCAGAACACAGCTGGTCTGCCTGCTTGCCTGCCTATATTTGTTCAATCAGCAACCTCCTAGCAAAACAGCTGTGACAAAAGAAACTAGCCAGAGGAGGTTTGAATAAAAAGGAGTTGATTCATAATGTCTCATTCATCTAAACAATGCTGCAAGCAGCTAAAAGATTGACACAGTATAGCCATACTTGTTTGCACAAGCCTTAATTCGTTCCCATGATCCTAAACACATTTATTTATTTATTTTAATTTGAACACAGCCTGAGTCTCAAAACCTTGGGCACTTCCCAAGAAAAATTTAACACTACAACAAAAGAACCAGCGAAAATCTTGAAAGCTTATTACTGTAGGTGTGAATTGAAACAATCAGGTAAACTAGTCAAAAGCCAGGTTGGCTTAGACCTGCAGCCCTATGAGCTGGTGGATGGCAGCTGCTTTGGGGTCAAATCTTACATGTTCTAGACAGAATATTCAAAGACTAAGGAGACCCAAGGTTCTGGGAAAGCTCATCTGGAAAACACCAACCTTGTTATGTAGACCAGTGGTTGTTAATTAACAGCATGCATCTCACTGAAAGACTCAGAAACAGTTTAGGTGAGCTACAAGGTAAAGAATTGAAATCAGCTCTTGAAAACTGCTGTAAAGGATAATATAATAATGGGATGCTTAAACATATATGCATGTTTGGAGAAAAATGAACATCTATCTATCTATCTATCTATCTATCTATCTATCTATCTATCTATCTATCTACCTACCTACCTACCTACCTACCTACCTACCTACCTATCTATCATCCCAGCAAAAGCAACTCTAGACCGCTTGCAAACATTGAATAGAATGCAGGATAAAACATTAAAACATTAACTAAAGACCTTCAATTTAAAAAGTTGGTTAACATAAAACTAAGCAGGATGGAGAGGGAGGGAGCAAAGTGCACACAGAGAGCACCCATCTCCATCTCTGCCACAGACCAGTTGGCATAGCCATGTCTTCAAGGCCTTTCGGAAGGCCAAAAGGATGGGAGTGGATCTGACGGGGGGGGGAGGGCAGATGTTCCAGAGAGCAGGAGCCATGGCAGAAAAGGTTCTTCTGGATCCCATCAGCTGAAGCTCCTTGGCTGACCGAGTCTGTAGAAGCATGCTCCTTCTACCTGCACAGGTGGGGCTGGCTAATTCCATGGAGGAACCGGTTTCTCATCTTTCTACCAAGGTCCAGGTTCTTTGATCAGAGTGATAGGTGGAAGGCAAGATGCAAGGAGTTGAGAATCAGCAGCACAAGCTGTACTAATTTTCCCCAAAGGTGGGAAAACACCACATCAAACACAATCCTTTTCTTCACCCTCGCACTTGGTTTGCAAGCCTGCCATTCTGTTCCACACATGGAGAACTTAGCACATAAAGAAGAAAACACACTCCATTCTGTCCTGCACATGGAGAAGTAGCGTATTAAGAAGACTATTTCAGACTTTGAAAAGACTTTGAAAAGTGCAGAGGTTTTTCTAAGATGTATTTTTAATCTCCATCCTATTTTCTATTATGTTATGTTATATTCTACCCACAAAGGGTCATTCTGTATCATTAAGAATCCATTAGTTGGGAGACCAATCTTGAGTTTCCTTCCTGAAATTCTTTGGGATTCTCCAATATCTTCAATGCAGGATAAGAACTGGGTTCTGCTCCCACCTTGGGCGTGAAATCTGGCTGGGGGACTTTGGGTGAGTCATTCTCAGCTCAGCCCACCTCACAGGGTTCTTGTTGTTGTTGTGGAACATAGGAGGAGGAAGGAAGATTAAGTACGTTCACTGTTTTGAGTTATTTGTAAAAAATAATAAAGGATCAAAAATAAAATAATATTAAAGCATAACTTTCTTTTGGTTTCTTGCATGACGTGCTTTCCCAACAAGGGTCTTTCCCAGATGAGTTGAATTTTGACTCCCATTACATCCACCCTCAAATTTTGTTTCTGTCTTGGCTAATTTAATGTCTTCCTCTGGTCTTCATCAACCCCACTCTAAAGCCCCACTAGGATTGGGAAAGCTGCAGTCCTAGCCTACCTGCGGAGGTGGTTTAAATAGAAGATAGATTTAAATCCCAGAAACTGTGGAAGAAAAAAGTCTGTTTTATAAAAGAACCAGTGGTGCAATAATGGAGCGATCCCTTTAACTAAATAAAATGCAAGCTCACCCAGAACCCAAGTCAGCACATTTGCCCAGTCTCGTGCTATACCATGACATTGAGATTGGAACAGCTTTCTGTTTTTTGAATTATAATCCTCTCTATGTCACTTTTAGTATTATTAGAGGAAAAAAGGGTATTATTATGACCAATCACCCAGTCAGTCAGATATTTAGACTCCATTTGGCATTTTTACTCACCTACAGAGTCCTTCCCAAGCACCTGGGATAGGCAAGTGCTGTTCTTTGAAGGTGTTCGAGGTATATTACTATTTATTAGTAGTAGTAGTATTAGCAGAAGGTGAAGAAGGAGAAGCATCAGCTGCAGCTTTCTTGTTCTCCTTTCATAATCTCGACAGCCACCCAAGTTCATATGGCAACAGGCAGATTTAAGTGTCATTCGATTAATAAAAACATCCACCACTAAGACAGTAGCACCTTTTTCAAAACAACCAGACTAGCTCTGAAGAGCACCACCCAGTTACATAACTCTACATGGTGGAAAGGAGGGGGTATGTGCTTGGATTTTCCTTAGAAGCAATTCATGCACAAACTTAAGAGTACCTCCCCCTTCCCCACTGATTTTAATATATCCATGCTTTGGGATCCAAGCTGCATTAAAAAGCCACTGAAATTTTCCTAGTTGTAGTTTGTTTTTCTTAGGTGTTTCCAGCTTAACCAACTTTCTCCAAACCTTCCCAGTATGTGTTGGATTACAGCTGCCAGAATGTCCAGCCAATAAAGGGTGGAATAGTTGTCAACCCACACTTTCCCCCCACATCAAAAGGTTACCAAGTGAGGAAGGCAAGAAAAGGAACGTTTTCTTCCCACAGTTGAGAAGCCCAGAGGGCTTCCAGAGAGACTTCCAAAAGCTATTGAGGCTGGCAGTACACAAACAAGCTAAGCCTAAATCACACAATGGCTTAGAATAGATAATGTGTGAAGCAGGCTGATAGTTTTAAGCAGTGGTGGGATTCAGCCGGTTCGCACCACTTCGGCAGAACCGGTAGCTAATTTTTTGTTACCCAGACCCAGAATGGACTTCTGGAAGTGGCATCCACACTGAGAACCGGTTGTTCACCTATCTGAATCCCACTACTGGTCTTAAGTCCCAGAAAGCCAGGCAGAGCAACGTCCTCCATGAGATGTTCTCAGAATCCAAAGACACCCCAGGCTCGGAGCAACCAAACAGCACCCATCCAGAAGAAACTTGCACTGATCTAAGCAAAACCTCCTCTCTCTGAGCAAAGGTTAAGGTATCATAAGGAGACTTAACTGCCCTCCAGGAATGCTGGACTGTAGCTGCCACCCATGTTTCTTGACCAGGGCCCAGGGGGGCAACAGACCTTATAGTCCAGCACTGCTTTAGGGCATGAGTTTTGACAAGCTTGCAACAGACGGTCAAAAAGTTCCATCGCCCCAAAGGTGGCAAGTAGACAATCTTTCCTATCCGGGGTTATTCCGAAGTAAGTCCTGCTGAGCCCAGCGCCGTACATTCCCCATTGGACACGGGCTGCAAAGGAAGGGGAAACTGTACTCCCCCCCCCTTTTTTTTTACCTACCTCCTTTGAGAGAAGCTGCCTCCTGAGGCGCAATTCTAAGCAGAAGTTACTCTCGCCTTGGAGTCGCAAGCAGAAACACCCCCCCATCCCACCCACCCCCCGCGACACACCCGTCCTCGCCTCGGTTCACCCCAACACGCTAAACTCCAAGCGGCTTTGCCTCTTCCGCGCGGACCCGCCCGGCTGGAATCATTCATAGTTTAGGAAAGCACGAGGACGCGCGAACACCGAGTGCAAACGCGCGTTAGGCGCCCGGGCACGGTCTGAAAGATGGGCTTCGCCCAGCAATTCTCTCTCGCCTCTTCCCCGAAGACCGGGAGGCTTGCAGCGACCCAGTTTCCCCCTCCTCCAGATGCGCCCCCTCCCCGTTTCTCTCCCCCCCCCCCAATTCCTCTTTTTACTGACCTCCTCCGGCTCCTTCCCGAGGATGCTGGTGGGAAACCCGAAAGGCTGCGAAAAGCACAAAAGCAGGGCGGGAGAAGGGCCCCGGTCTCGCAGGGCAAGGCCGCCTCTCTGCGGCAAGAGAGCCGCCTCTCCCTGGGAGACCCGCCTCGCCTGTTTTTTCCTTTTTCCCACGCAGCTGCGCGGGCACGAACCAAACAGAAGCAGCGCCGCCGCCGCGGACTCCGACCGGCCCCGCGCTGCGCCCCCTGGAGGTTGCAGGACGATGGTTCGCCCCCCCCCCTCTTGCCGGGTGAGGAAGCCATAGGGCAGTTTCCCAAACTTGACCATTTTAAGGCATGAGGACTTCAACTCCCAGAATTCCACAGCCAGCAACGCTGGCTGTGGAATTCTGGGAGTTGAAGTCCACATGCCTTAAAATGGTCAAGTTTGGGAAACACTGCCATAGGGGAGAGAAGGCGAGATGGCACCGCCAGCCACCCCAACCTCTGTTCCAGTGCGCGCTGCTTGGCTTACGCCTCCTGGTAAGGGGAGCGACGCTAACGCTGGCCAGCATTTTCCTCCGGGTCCAAATGGTGAACGAGAGAAATTGGGGACCGGGCCCTTCGTCTAGCCACCTGGAATTCCTCTTGGGGTGCAAAAGGTAGAAGGCAGGCCGTGTTTGTAGTTTGAGAAGATAAGGAACTTAGGGACTGTTTGGGTCTGCCCGGATCTTGACAAGAAGGCATACCTGCGACAGCTGAACCATCAACTAGGCATCTGCATGTTGCGTAGGAAGTTGTGAAGCCGTCCATATGGGTAAGCGTATTATGTGAAGCCACAGCAATTTGTTTGAAATAAATAACAAACTAACCGTTGATGTTGAATGCTGCTTCCAGTTTATTTCAAGTCCAATCAAATCCAACTTCAGTCATTCCCAGCCTGACTCTTACCAGAAGTCTTGGCTGACTAGGAGCATTCTGCGTTGTAAGCCAACCTACCTAGAGGTAAGCCAGGCTAGGGAAGGCTGTTCCAAAACATGGCTGGAGATTGGTAAACATGTGCTGGTAAAAGCAACTGTGGCATCACCAAGTTTCTGTGGATACTTTGATAAGTGAATGATCTAAGAGACACATGGTCAGAATCCACATCTAAGTTCCTGTCCCTATCAGCATTATTCCTCTGTGTAGCTGGCCCCACATGAACCCAGGGTGAAGTAGTGGACTTTGGCAATACATACCGTAGACAGGAATAGCAGCAACATTTTCCATGGCAGAATTGGGAATGCCATGTACCTTTGCCTCCTAAAGTGGCCTGCTGGACTCATCATTGTAGATTCCCGATTCAACTACTAGGATCCAGTTTCTAGGCCAGTCAGCTTATGTCTAACAGAAAAAAGTATGTTACATACACACACGCTCACTAGGAGTCAGTATAGGACAGTGATGGCGAACCTTTTAGAGACGGAGTGCCCAAATTGCAACCCAAAACCCACTTATGTGCCGGGTGGGCATGGCCCATTGGGTAGGCGTGGCCCATTGGATGGGCGTGGCTTCGGTGATAACAGCAGACTGGGTGGGACTAAAAGGTTCAATCCCAACTTTGCAAGATCATTTCCCCCCCCCCCCGCAAGAAGTTGAAATGGGGTGTTGTCTTACCTGAACGCCTTTTCTCAGCACGGAGATGGAGAATGATTGATTGATTGAACCTTTTTTTTAATACATGGCGGCAGAGGCCTAAAGTAAAAAGGTTTTATAAAACACAGCTGAAGGCCTAGGACTGGGGCGATGGTGTGCGTGCCCACAGAGAGGGCTCTGCGTGCTACCTGTGGCATGCGTGCCATAGGTTCGCCACCACGGGTATAGGTCGTGGAGTCTTTCTTCTTCTTCACTTCCTCTTTTACCATTTCAGATGTCAAGGCTCATGAGTAGTGAGTGGTGTTATATGAAAAGAACAAGAAACTGCCCATGTTACTGAATTCTGGACCAGCTGCAACTTCAAAATGCTCTTCACAACAATCTCATGCAGGATGCAATACAGTAATCCAAACAGGAGGGAACTAAAGCGTGAATCACTATGAGCAAAGTCTTCCAGTCCAGGAGTTGATGTAGTTGTACAACCTGTGCTAATATCCGCCTAATGACTACTACCTGCTCTTCAAAGAATCGTGATCCAGAAGGACCACCAAATTAGGCACTAGCTCTGACTGGAGAAGCAAACACCTAGACAAAGTTAAAAGTTTTAAAATCCCTAGAACTGGATGGGTCTTAAAACCCTCAGCCAATCATGCTAGGATTGAATATGCAAACTGTCACAGCTCCCTGGGAAACTATTGAAAGCAACATCTATCAAATGAAGAGATGTTCCACTGGATCTCATTAGGATGTTACTAACACTGACTGGAAGTGTAACACTGTGCCTTTTACTTCCCAAAGCCAGCCCAGAGGGATACCAAAACTGATGACACTAAAAGCTATTAAGAGATCAAAGGAAGATGAATGTGCTACTCCCAAGATGGGCTGACCAAAAGTCCTTAATTAGTACAATCATTGCCATCTCAGTCTATGGTCAGACCCAAATCCTGACTAGAAAGGGTCTAATCTCCTTCTTCAGGGCACACCTGGAGCTGCAGGCTTACCACCTTTTCAACAGAAAGGTGGAGACTGGATGACAGTTGTCAGATCCATTGGGTTCAGTAATGATCCACTGGGTTCAGTAATGATTTCTTCAGCAGAGGGCGGCCACCATCTCTTTAAAGCAGTGTTTCTCAACCTTGACAATTTTAAGGCATGTGGACTTCAACTCCCAGAATTCCACAGCCCGTGATGCTGGCTGTGGAATTCTGGGAGTTGAAGTCCACATGCCTTAAAATTGTCAAGGTTGAGAAACACTGCTTCAAAGACAAATGGAACCATTACCTCCTGCAGAGAAACATTCACCATTGCATGGACCCATTCACCTGTTACCTCTTGGGAGACTTTAATCAAGCAGGAACAGGGATCTAAAAGACAGATGTCCAGCTTATTGCATCAGGGATCCTGTACACTTGATCAGGGCCAACAGGTTCAAACTCTTCCCAGATAACCAGGCAAGACTCTGGAAGCATGGGATCAGAGAACACCAAAGCCAGTAAGAAGTTATAGGTCTATGACAAAGGATTGTAACACGTCCCAACCCCAGATTACATTTCTACTGCCCCAAGATATGTCAGGTCTAAAGTAGGACCTTCATTATTAGACCAGCAATTATCTGGGTCCAGTTGCTCCTGAACTGCCTCTGAATCCATGAGCAAGGAAGACAAATTAAGGCCCTCCCACAAAGCCTGGAAAACTCCACTGCCAACCCAGCCAGTGTCAAGCAGCCCTAGTAAAGAGGAAGGTCATTGTGTAGCAGAGAAGCTGGTACGCAAGCAACAACCACTTTAGATTCCTATAGTCCTATTTGACAAGCAAGGCTTCATACCCAGAAGCAGTGCCCCTGAAGACCATAAGGGTTTCTCAGATGACTATAGCCATACCTCCACCCTGATCCTGATTGACAACTAATGCCACTCATGAAACTGGCAAACACATCTCTGAAAGGGATTGGAAGATAACATCAATACCAAGCATCAAGTTCACCCTCCCCAGGTGAAGTCTTATTCCCTTGCCTTATTCCCCTTGTCCATCATCACAACAGCTTTGTCTGTCCTAGCCTATTCCACACACTCAAACACACCAACCTAATCTCAACTTTTGGTTGGTCCCCAAGCCAAAGAACCCCAACACACCACTCAACCTTCTGGTCCTACCATCCAAAAACCTGGCAGTGATCTTGGGGGTACTTCTGCACAACCAGCCTCCCCTAGTCAAGTCATCAGCTAACTCACCTACATTTTCCTCTTGTGTCATCAACCAGACCTTCTTTCGCTCCATTCTCACCTAAATGTGCTTGTGTAGAAGCACCAACCTATAATGGACAGGTAAACTTGGGATACAGTGCTGCAGCCATTGTCACAATGAAAAACAATGTCAATTACTTTCTTCTCTCACCTGATGTGGTGGGAGGTCTTGGTAGCTTCAGTGATGCTGAAAGGAACGCTGGATGGAGCAGGAGGTTCACTTTGCAGGTAAAGTCAAAAGGGAAACGAGGAAACAAAGCGGAGCTCAGTAGCTTCAGAATCAAATCCAGAAAAAGGCAATGGCAAACTATAATATTATTGTGAAACAAACGTACAGATTTATAGAGTTGGAAGGGAATTTATGAGGCCATCAAGTCCAACCCCCACAACTGTGATATAGGAACACTGTAAACCTTGTACAGACATGGCTAAAACAATTACAACAAAACATTCTGCAGACTTTCACCAGTAAATCTGGAGGAATGACAAAGCTAGACCAAAACCAAGAGGAGGAATGGGGGAACCTAGACTTATAGGAAGATTTGGATTGTGTAAACACAGTAATGCAATAGATAGAATAACAGAATTTTGTGGAGACAATTCCTTGTTTATTGCCAACACCTGTTTCAAGCAATATAAATGCAAACTCTATA